ATTCAAATGTAACTATCCTATTACATATGTTTTGTATCCCTAACTTCTTTATTCACTTGGTTAATTTCAGGGTAAGGTATTTGAATCTTCACTCCCTCCCTCAGTGGTGTCTTTTTCAGACAGTGAACATTTGGAGAATAGGAATAAGATTATCAACTTCACTTTTCCCCATTTCTCCTGCTTTTTGTTGAAGAGACAGAACAGAAATGAAAGAAGGGAGGAATTTCCAATCTAAGAAGTTATGTGCTGATTCACAAATCTTAAATTGTGCATGACACTGCACTGAATGTGTGTATGTGTTTTAGGCTAACTTGAAAGAGTCACACTGCCCTTGCATCTGACGTGGTACTTTGATGTAGTGTGAGTGAAATTCAGGAAAAACAGGGAGGGATGTAAAGAAAATAGTTTGCCTTTATTGGTTATCTTTGCTAATCTAATGTTCAAGTGCTATGAAGTTTTAAAATAAAGCTTCCTATTTCATTCAAATAAAAATATCCATGGGCATTCTAAATCCATGAATGCAACCTCATAAACTACCTTGACACTTTCATGCTACTCATATTGCATATCTCTGGATTATTGGGCACTTGTAGAGTTACTCATTATCAAAGTTTATTGTATTTACTTAAACATTGAGCATTGACCCCATATTGGAGACTATACCAGTTAAGGAATCTAACAAGACCCCATTTGAGAATATGGAAGTATTTGATGAGGAATGCTATATTTTTTGGTCAGTGTACCACCTTGTATTGTAAATTATTTCAAGACAGGAACGGTAGTAGTTGTTTTTTGTTTTTTTGTTGTTCTTCCCTCATCTCGTGTAGCCTTTAAACTTGAAACCCTTGGCAAAAAGAAAGTTTTCCATGTTGTTCCTTTCATTTAGTTCCTTCAATTATTTATTGTTCTCACTTCCTTATCACCCATTCATTTCTTGGAAAAAATTGTTTTTCCATTTTTCTGATTGTTAGTTCATTGTAGAAAATAAATGAATAAGGAAGATAGCAAACGAGCACTTGCTTACATTTTATCTGGAGTTTAGGCAAAGAGGATCATGAGTAGAGATTTGCAGGTAAGCGCATAGAGATGGTGCTTAAAGGTACAGGCACCTATGTCATGACCAGACAGTACTGGCTACCAAGCAGATATCACCCCAGGTAATTTCATTATTCTGTGTTCATTCAGTTGTACAGGCAACTGTGATCCAACCAAGCTAACACCCTGATTTCCAGAGTAACATTTTGACTACAGTGTGCACATGCCTGCTGTCTCATCCTAGTGCACTCACTACTCACACACATCCCGAGTCTAATACCCTTTATGGCCTCTTCCAAAAGTAAGAAGGGTAAGAGAAGTAAACCAGGGATACCGCTCTGGAATCCTTTGCTTTTAAACAGGCTGCCAGCGACACTGAGGAGTCAGCAAAAAAGAGACAGGCAGGAGAGGATGAAGAAGAACCTGGTTGTCATGGAAGTCCAGAGGAGAGTTTCAGGAAGGAGGGAGGAGAGGTCGAAATGTGAATGTCTCAAAGTGCCAGAATGACAAAGCCTATAGCTTTGCACACTGGAAGGGATTGCTCCTCTGGTGCCCCTTTCACCAGCCAGTGCTCCGAAGAGAATGCAGGAAGGATGAGATGATTTAGAGAGGAGAGGAGAAAGCCCTTTTTCTGGAAGATTGACATGATCAGAAAAGGGTGGGTAGGGGTGCATTGTGATAGACCTTTAGTGGTGGAAAGATTTTCAACTAGTAGAATTTGAAATGCATCCTCTGGTTTTCTCATATAGTTTCCAAGAACTCAACTGAACTTAACAGTGGGGTTGGTATTCTAGCTAAGTGGATCTACCAGGGAACTCAAATAGTACCTAGAACTACAAAATTAAACATGTAACAAGGGAATTTTTTTTATGTAGCTTACTCTTTCAACAGATGGAGGTGACATGCTGTAAATTAGTATTGCTCTTCTGTTTAATTCGGTTGCTTTTTACTGTATTTAATGATCCTGAGGCAGGCTTGCTGATAATTAAGATAATTGTTAACAATTGTCAGTATATGTTTGCTGTTTCCATCAACCCTCAGGAATAGGCTTTAGGAGTTATTGAGTTATTGATCTGTCATCATATTATACACACAGGTGACATACTGATTTTTGACTAGTAGTGAAAGGAAAGGAGCGACACACAACAGCAATTCACCGGAGAGTTCCGCTTTATTAGGGAAAGGTGCTGGGTTATATAGGAAGGGGCATAGGGTGATTGTGGTGTTACTTCTACGGGGCTGGTGGCTGTTGGCTAGGTGCTGGGATTGGGAGGGGGGCGAGAGGTGATTGGGCTTCAGGTGGCGCCAGCGGGAACTGAGGACCCCGAAAAGAAGCCGGAAGTTTGCCATCTTACTGGTGGGGACCCTTCAAGTAGTTTAATAAATTGGAAGCATATATGTTCCACATAGGCTAGCCAGTGTCCAAAGTTTATATTGCACTTAAAGGGGTTTGTTTGATGCTATAAAAAATGGGGGGTAAAGAGAGGGAGATGGAGAGGAAGAGCAAAGAAAGAGAGGACAAGAGAGGGATAGAATAGGAAAGGGTGTAATGATAGGAAAAAAAATGTGTTACTTCGTTGTCCATCTTCAACCTTCTGTTTTTACAGGTCTCTAAACTGTAGGTAGTCTCTCCTCTCTCCCCCCATGTGCCCATCTATATTTTGAAATTAAAAGAAAACATTGAGTTGTTTTGCTCAGGATGTAAGAGGAGTCTCAGCTTTTCCTTTAAATTATGAAGAAAATTTTGTGTTTAAATGTAAGATATTTTAAACTATAGGATGCATATGAGATGGTTCTAAAGTGGAGGGACTGTAGTAGTGACTGCCAGGGTTGGGCATTTCCAAGTCTGCTGTCTTGCTTATATTTTAGTGCTGGCTTTCAGTTCCCTCCTGCAATGCATATAACTTCACGTATCCTAAAGAAAAAAAAAGAACAGGTCTGCAACAAAGTATTTCCTATGGGTAATGAAGTGTGACAAGAGTGTCTTTTTACCATGCATGGTGTCATTGGTGTGTGGGCCATTTAAGGAATGAAAGTTCTGGTAATAGTAGGCGATTTATTTGGATTTCTGGGAACTTGTGATCTTTATAAAAATCTGCTTAGAATTAGTCTTTATGCTAGTGTATTCTTTCTTTGAAAGCTATTTTCATTGAAATAAACAGCTTTTTCCCCCTTGGTTTAGAAAATGAATTCTCATAAGTTTCATAAATGGTGGTTTGGGGCTTCTAAAGATTTTTTCTTTGGCGATGGACTCGTGACTTTGCGCTTTGATTCAGTTGACTGGTTTCCTTGCCATTTTATGAGGAGCAAGCACTTCTTGAACCTTAGCTATGGCCACATGTGCTGCCCCCCCTCACTGCCTTAGGGAGCAACAGTTGGCATTTCTTCCAGTGGAAGGCTTACAGTTCAAGAGGAGCACGTAAAGTTTTGAAACGTAAAGGAAATCATAGCAATCTGATGAACAAGTATCTAGAAAGCTCAAAAGCCAGGTTTCATTAGGCAGCGGTGCAAAACCATTATCCCCTTCACAAAAGATGGGGAAGGGGGGTGAGAGTGAAAACAATTAGCGTTGATCTGGCCGCCAGTGTGAGCCCAGCTGGAGCTCAGCCGGCCCCTGCGTTCTGCAGGCAGCATGCAGTTTTCCAAACACCCCTAAATGTTCCAGCCTTTAAATAGCAGCCAGGCTTCTAAAATGATGCTGCGTCCTGCAAGGGGAATTAAAGCGGCTGCCTTGGAGGCAGGAAGCCGACTAGCGAGATGCTTAATTATCGTGGAAGTAAGTGCTTGTTACCGTTGAGTGGAGTGCAGCGAGCGCGGGGCGTCCTGGTCCTCGGGGTGTCAGCCGTGATTTGTAGACAATGCAGCCCTGTCAGCGCAGTGCTGCTTCACCAGCATCTTTCCAAACATGTATTTGGCAAGAATTTAAAGGCCACCTCTTGTGTAATTTGTGGAGCCTTGGAAAAGAGTCCTCTGCCTTTATTTTCAGGATGTACGCAGCCATGCAGGGTTTTGTACTCAAAATCTGTGCCTCTTGCCTCCTGACGGACGTGCTCCTGAGGAAGTTGGTTTTCTTCACCCATCACCTGGAAGGATGTTAACAGTTCTCTTTCGTCTGTTGGGGAATATGGAGAGGTCTATCCAGGGCAGCATTTTGTTTCTGCTGTATTCATAAATTAGCACCGAAGGGTGGGGTGGGTTGCAGAGTGTAAGGAAATGCAGGCATTTTGTTAATTAGTGAAATATTTCTAGCTCTGAGAATAGACTAAAGAGCTTGGGAGGAGGTGGTGGACGCTGGATTCATTCTGCAATATTCCTCATCGGGGTAAGTAATAAGGTAGAGGAAAATGCAGGAGAGTGTTAATGGGTGTAATGGCTCCGGGAAAACCCTGTTTATTTTCTCTCTGTTGTATTTGCTCTTGCCAACTATGTTAAGCCTTTGTAAGGAAATAAAAAGTAAGGCTTTTGAAATATGGAAGGTGTTAAAAAGTGACTATTGCAAAATATAGAAAAAATTTTCCATTTTCAGTCCTGTTAAAAAAAATTGCATTGCTCTATCAAACTCTGTTGGTTATGGCTTGAACTTCTGGTCAGCAAAGTGGTTCGTGATATCCTACATTATTAGAGGTCACTGAAGCCTGTACTTGGGACAGGAGCCTTGATGTCTTGGAATTAGATTTCTTCCCCCTCCCCCACCCCATCCTCGTCTCCCACCCCATCCTCCTCTCCCTTTATATGAAACAGTTTAAGCTTAAAGTAATAATCTTTTAAAGTGTATATCATTTAAATGACAGATTTTATTAAATGCTTTCACTTTCTTTTGAACCTGCTTTACTAAAAATATGGGTTGTGAACTGTGAACCAAAGTCCATTACTGAGTCTTATTTTCATGTGTCTGGGTTTGGAATTGCATATTTATTTTTAGATGTATTTTATCAAATGCTAATTCCAATTGTCCTCTCTTTTAGAGAAAGCATGGGCTTATAGCAATCACAGAGCCCCAGTAATACAAGCTCCATTTGGGCTTTTCTGAAAGAAAGCCATCTATTAAAGTGAAGCAAAGGAACTATCGTGGATTATAATGTTTTGAAGATCTGGATTTTCCGAGGATTGAAAATAAGGCATCATTTAACCTTTTAAATGAAAAAGATTAAGATCTCATGCAATTGCTATATATTCTGGAAACTATTCTCCAAAAGAGAAGTGCACATTTACAACTTAGATATGCTGGTCCTTTCTGCAGGGCTTTAAGTCTGATTGCTTTTACATCATGACCAGCTTGAAACGGTCACAGACAGAGAGGCCTGTTACCACTGAAAGGGCCTCCCTTGTCGGCACAGATGGCACCCCCAAGGTCCACACTGATGACTTCTACATGCGGCGCTTCAGGTCCCAAAATGGCAGCTTAGGATCATCAGTTATGGCTCCTGTAGGGCCCCCCCGAAGTGAAGGTTCCCACCACATAACCTCGACCCCCGGCGTCCCAAAGATGGGGGTTAGGGCAAGGATTGCAGATTGGCCCCCAAGAAAGGAAAACGTAAAGGAATCTAGCCGTTCAAGCCAGGAAATAGAAACCTCAAGTTGCCTTGAGAGCCTGTCCTCCAAAAGCAGTCCTGTGAGTCAGGGGAGTTCTGTTAGCCTCAATTCCAGTGACTCAGCCATGTTAAAAAGCATACAGAACACACTGAAGAACAAGACCAGACCTTCGGAGAACATGGACTCCAGATTCCTCATGCCTGAAGCCTATCCCAGCTCCCCCAGGAAAGCTCTTCGTAGAATTCGGCAGCGGAGCAACAGTGACATCACCATAAGTGAACTTGACGTGGATAGCTTTGATGAATGTATCTCGCCCACGTACAAGACGGGGCCATCGCTGCACAGGGAATATGGTAGCACATCTTCCATTGATAAGCAAGGAACCTCGGGAGAAAACTTCTTTGATTTGTTAAAGGGCTACAAAGATGACAAATCTGATCGAGGTCCGACCCCAACCAAGCTCAGTGACTTTCTCATCGCTGGTGGGGGCAAGGGTTCTGGTTTCTCCTTGGATGTTATAGACGGGCCCATCTCACAGAGAGAGAACCTCAGGCTCTTTAAGGAGAGGGAAAAACCACTCAAGCGACGTTCCAAGTCTGAAACCGGGGACTCATCTATTTTTCGTAAATTACGCAATGCCAAAGGTGATGAGCTTGGGAAATCGTCCGATCTTGAGGATAACCGATCAGAAGACTCGGTCAGGCCCTGGACATGTCCAAAGTGCTTTGCCCACTATGATGTCCAGAGTATATTATTTGACTTGAACGAGGCAATAATGAACAGGCATAATATTATTAAGAGGAGAAACACCACCACAGGGGCCTCGGCCGCTGCCGTGGCATCCTTGGTCTCGGGCCCTTTGTCCCACTCAGCCAGTTTTAGCTCCCCAATGGGCAGCACGGAGGACCTGAATTCCAAAGGAAGCCTCAGCATGGACCAGGGAGATGATAAAAGCAACGAACTTGTAATGAGCTGTCCATATTTTCGGAATGAGATAGGTGGAGAAGGTGAAAGGAAAATCAGCTTGTCAAAATCAAATTCTGGTTCCTTCAGTGGCTGTGAAAGTGCCTCCTTTGAGTCTACACTGAGCTCTCATTGCACAAATGCTGGAGTGGCTGTGCTTGAAGTGCCCAAGGAAAGTCTGGTGTTGCATCTCGACCGAGTGAAGAGATACATTGTGGAACACGTGGACCTTGGCGCCTACTATTACAGGAAGTTCTTCTATCAGAAGGGTGAGTAGAGATCTTTATTTTCTTTTGCTGTACTTTTCTGAAAAAAATAGAGGACTGTCTATTAAACATTTTCAGCAGTATTATGTAATATTTGCATGAATACCTTCTCTCTCTTGGTGGTGAAATAGTTAAATAGGTATTTGCTGCAATTTATGTCTTTTTGCATTTTTTGAGTTATTTCCTCCTAGATAGAAAAAAGTCTTGCATATTAAAGAGTAATGGCTTTTAAAATTTAGTGGATGAAATGATAGTCTTTGTGTTGAAGGCTTACTGTGTCACCTTCTGTGATACATGTTATATAAAGGTGAAAATATTTATGCCTTATTTTGTAATCCTTAAAATTTTAATGTTGCCTTTCATTTACTTAGCACTTTTACAGTTAGTACAAGACCATTTATTTTCTGCCTTAATGTTCTCATCGGTAAATGGGAATTATACATTCCTATCCATGTCTCAGGAATTTTAGTGAAAATTAACTAGAATTCACTGAACCAATAAATCTCAAAGCCAAGAATCAAATCCAGATGTTCTAGATTTGAGTAGAAAAGACACTGAAGAGATCAGGATGGTGGTGACTTCCATGCTGGTGACTTCCTCTCTAGTCTTTTCTCGGGTGGGGTCGGGGAAGTATATACATATATTGTTAGATTTCACTTTACATGTAGTTTTATCTCATACTTTTAAGAAGGGCCCTGCAATTTATTGAAAAGCAAGCAGTTAAAATGACCTCTTAAGAGCTTTTGAATAGTGAGTTTGAGAAGCATTATTAATTGAAGAATGAGTCATGCAAGTACCCAGGCTGGGAAACAGGATGCTCACCAAGGAAGGACCTAATACACCTGTGGCTCATTAGCCAGTTCAGGAACCTGTGACCTAGGAGAGAGGTCCCTCTATCCAGAGTACTACAGCAACATTTTGATTTCCTACCTACTGTTGTGGGGTTTTTGAATTTTATTTAGGTTTATTCTTCTGAATGAAGTTTCACTTCTCGTATTCATAACAGCTTCCTTACATTGCTCACATTAGAATAAAACTTATTGTAAGGTTATTACATGGTAGACCCCATACAAGAGGGGTTATTGACCAAAAGAACCTTTTCTCATTACTAAGTATCCATGCTTCTTAAATATCTGTGGCATAGAATCAGTATGATTAAAAAAAATCCCAATTTCATTTTTAAGCAATCTTCTTTTTCTCAGAATAATTTTCTGGTGTTTGGATTTTATAAAACATTTCTTTCTTAAACCATCCTTTCTCAACATTGCCATCTTGGCACTTGGGGCCATGTAGTTCTTTGCTGGAGGGGGGCTGTCCTCTGCATTATCAGGTATAGGATGTTTAGTAGTATTCCTAGCCTCTACACCCCCGATACCAGTAGGTACCCCCCTCCCCTACCCCAGTTTTGACAACTTTGCCAGACATTGCCAGATGTCCTTTAGCAGGTAAAATTGTGCCTGGCTAAGAAGCCCTGCTTTATTGTACCTGGGAAACTTTTCCACAGGTGTTTGAACTATAGGTGGAAGGCCATCTTGCTAAAAACTGGCACATTGAGTCCAACGAGAGAGAACGTATTAGTTATAATCTTACTTACATAGTAAAAGGCACTCTCTTTGTATTATTAGGTAATATAATAATAATAATATACTTTTTTGAGCACTTTAATGTACCAGGAACTTTAATAAGCCTTTGATCTGACAGGCATTTTCTCATTTCAACCTCTCTATGCCCACTGAGGTAGGCACTGTTATTGATGGCATTTTTCAGATGAGAAAATGGGGACTTATGTGGTTAAGTGATTCAAGTGTGAAGCTGTCATGGAGCCAGGATTCCACTTTTGGTGTATTTGACCAGAGTTATGTTTTCAGAGTCATGCTGGACTTTGCTTTCTGCTACGTTACATTAAAGGGAAGTAATATATTTTTATGGTTAAATTTGGTAGAAATTTGAAAACTTTCAAAAATATGGGATAAAAGTTTGAACACTTATCTCAGAGTAATCCAGTTTAGATCGTAACACTTCATGAATTTAAGTCACTAATTAATGCAAAGTAGTTTCCAATTTGAAGAATGGAAAATACCGTTACCCAACATAAATGCAACTGGTTAATTGAAAATATCTGCTCAAGCAGGGAATCTTTAAAATATATACTCAATATTTTATATATAAAAGTGTGTTTGTGAAACTTTTGCAAGGCCAGGGGCTTTTCTTTGACAGTGATTCTACAATTTAAAATTCCATACTGTATAAGTAGTATAAACCATAAGAGCTAAAACATAAAAGACACTAGCAGAGCAATCCAGATTTTAAAGAATCTTAGGTTTCTTTCATATTTTTTCTCATTATTTGTAATTGTCTTACTCCTAATCCAACAGCTTACTTTATAGGACCTTACCTTTATTAAGTCTTTCCAAAGCATTCAACGCAGTTTTTAGTAGAAACAAGATTTATCTTTCAGACTCCTATCCCAATAGCTTTCATGATGTTTCATTAAATGTCATGATTAGAATAACATGTCACCTGACATAAACAGGTTTGGGAGGACACAGCCGATTCTTCATCAGCATGAAGTCCAGCTGATGGGAACAGAAAGCGTGTGGCACTTGAGATTGCCTGCTAGAGCCCTTGGGTATTTGTCCTCGTGGTTTACAGAGGGAACTTGAAGCTGTGGTTAGTCCAGGAAGGTGGTCCAGAGGAAGGCAGCTGCACAGAGTACCTGCTGTATTTTCTTGGGCCACACAACTTAGAATTTTCAGATCTCATTTGTCATAGTATGATTAATATACAACAAATTGTGACTCTGAATAACACTTTTTGAGCACTTATAATGTACCAGGAACTTTAATAAGCCTTTGATCTGACAGGCATTTTCTCATTTCAGCCTCTGTTATGGCTGAAATGAAGCCCCCTAAAGTATAACTATATGTTTAAGAATATATGGTGTCTCTACTTTTTATCACAGTATAAAATACAGTTACGTAATTCTCTTAATTTTTAATATATATAAATTGATTCACCAAAATTAGTGAATGAACTCATTTTTCCAAATCAGAACCTTAGGTGAACCGTCTTGCTGAACAGAGTACATCACCATCAGATATGATTTACCTCCCAGCTGCAAGGTGTGCAGCACTACTGACCTGGCTGTCACTTGAACCTCCTCATCACCCGATATTTTCTATTACGCTGTTTAATGCATTCCTGGCTTTGCACTGGCTAAGTCCCTTGGGAGGGAAAGTCACTTTATTGAAGTACACTCTACTTGACATTATATGTAAAATGTAATTGTATTTGACTCATGAAGCTACAATCACTTTTTAATATTACATTGTCTTTATATACATCATTATTTTGCAGATTTAGACTTTAGACAATACTTGACTCCAACATGAAGATGCTGGACCAGTAGAGGAATCCCACTGTTTGCACTTGGTGCTTCCCCATCAGTATTCTTGTTAGTCCATTCTCCTGCCTGCTACTCTTGGTGGTTTTGCTAGTGTGTATGATGCTTCTCTTGACACACCCAGAACTAAATGACAGTATTAATAGAGCTATCGTTTACTGTGGTACTACTTTGTGTTTTATGCAGACCTTCTCATTTAATGCTCATAGGACCCTGAGGCAAAGCTGATAAGTCCAAGTGATGTCACCACATCCTTCCTAGAGGGGTGCAAACTAGGCAGCAGGACAGCCTTACAGCCAATCTGGTCATCTGCCTTTGAGAGTGTTTGTGTGTGTATGTGTGTGTGTGTGTGTGTGTGTGTCTAGTTTTTATTTAGTAGTTACTATGATCAAAGTACTGAGGACACATGTAAGTGGAAAATACTAAGTTATCCAATAAACATGATGATGCTGGTAGTTGACATAGCTTTTTTGGGTGACCCTTTCCCAGCCATTTCTCACCTCATTTCCTACACCCATACAGGACATTTTCAATTTTGCACTGAGTGTACAGTTGTCTGTTAGGCATGTCCTCCCTGACTGTCATTCAGAGGGCTGCCTTAGTGGAAAAGAGAGGAGCCCCTGGGCTGCCTTGGCAGTAGTGGGTGTTGGTCCATTGATCAACAGTGTGATGGGCTTCTCTCTGTGCTAGGGGGGTGTCACTCCCAAAGTCAGGTTACTGAGGATGCTGTGATGGAAAGGGCCTCTCCCTGCTGGCCTGGAGAAACTGCTATTACTGGGTCTGAAGCTCATCTAAGAATATTTTTCCACTCCTGAAAAGAGGGAAAACTAATGCTGTGCATCTAATTATTCTTGCAACTTTAAGCTACCAGATTTGATTGTTTTTATTCACTTCCCTCCTCCTATACCTCCACTCACTCCACCCCACACAAGTGTTTTGTACACACATGCCCTACCTGCACCACCTCACCCCACCACCCACCCAAATCCAGTTCAACAGTATTCTGAGTCCCTCAGTTGAGGATGTTAGTTGGATTTCTGTTGCTACTGCGATGTCCGGTTGTCTTTACCTCTCTTCTTCTTGTAATCTTCCATATTTAACATCATTCCTTTAGAGTATATTCACTTAACTTCATTTATACTTGAAGTGAAAACTTTGGCACTCTGATATAGCCTCAGTTTTCCTATCAAGCTATTCTGTAAGTTCTAGTTTGTTAAGTGAGCATCATTAAGTAGCTTTTACAAGTTTTAGTGGATTATTTAATGGTACATGCAGAACACTAGGGAATACCATACAGCTAAGTATATTTGTAAAAATCTGTGCTTAATTTGTTTTTTTAATACATCTATAAGTATAGCAACATTAGGCTTGAGAAAAGTACCCTGAGATGCCTTATCATTCATAGTTATATAAGAATAATTATTCTATGTGTAGTTTTTTGATGTGTAGTTTTATATTTCAGATAAGTGATAAAGACTCTAGAGGCCACAAGCATGCTCTGCGCAACCATGTGCTCTGTGGTCTTGAATATCACAGTTAATTTTGGCCAAAATTAATAGGGAAAGATTTCATACCTGTATAATAACTCATTGTTTAATGC